CTTGAATGTAGAATGGGAAAGAATAACTCGGATATGATCATGTAGAAGGATATAATGTATATAGACTGTAGAAATACTACATGTATGTAAACGGCACCATGTATAATGTACTCAAGAAATACATTCCCATTAAATACTTATATTTTCCTAATCTAATGACTTGTAAAAATCTATTTTTGAAGCAAAATCTTGCACAATCACAAAATTTATCAAAGTACCTAAACTTAGTTGGTAAAAGTGTGAAAAAGACTAAATGATTATATTGTAAACTTTAACTATGCTGTATTTATATTGTAAAATATAATTGTACTTTCTGCCAATTGCCTTTATGTATATGTATTGTAAAGTTTTTCTCATGTTTCTCTTGCACCACCAAGAGTGTTTTTTTAGAATAAAAGATTTATTTTGAGTTAGTGGAAATACGAGATGCGTGTATCTAAAACAGCAAAGGCATAGTCAGAATCGAAGACGGTCAATGATGCTGAAGGTTTTTCAATAGGTAGGATTAATGTGTATGTAAGAATGTAGAAATAGCATTTCTGACACACCCGTGGGTGAAAAACCTATGTGAGAAACTGCATGGTATTCAACATATGTGTGAGATCGATTTCCAAGCCCGTGATTGGCTACTCCATGGTGATGACCTAAGGTCAGATTATGACGGACTACTTTCCTGATGAATCTTCATTGAAGAGTTACTCGTGCTTCTATCGAGCACAAGCCTGTTACTCCAAACTCCGGCGCAGTGATGACTTAGCATACCATCACTGCCACAGGCTAATTTGCATATCACGTGACCAGACTTTTCTCTTGTTTGTAATCAAACGCGCATATTCATAATAAGAAGATACTGGACTCACGAAAGCTTTTCAGCGCTCTCTTCATAATGTTTTACATTGTTGCATATATATATTCTTCCACAACTGCGACAGTAAGGTCTATGACAGTACATATTTATATATCAAACTGGCTGCATCGTTTGCTCTCCATCAGCTTCGATGACAGCACGTGGAGCCGTACAACCTATGTAAACAAAGGATCGCTACGCAAATCGAAATAGTGTTTCATGTTTTTGGATATTTTCTCAGTGAAACTAAACCATTCTATTAAAGATGTTTAGTTAGATGTGGAGAATCGTCAAAAATAAAAGAGTAAAAGAAATCTGTACATTATATTGAATGGACATTGCAAGATGTGACGAATCGTCACATTTTTCTGGCCTGTGGCAGAGGTACTATGCTGGCTTGCCGCATGGAACTCTGGGTAGGAGAGTGCTATTACTCGTGCCAAACACCTTTATACCTACCTGTTATCATATACAGAGTGAGTGAGTGAGTGAGTGGGTTTAGTTTTACGCCGCACTCAGCAATATTCCAGCTATATGGCGGTAGTCTGTAAATAATTGAGTCTTGACCAGACAATCCAGTGATCAACAACATGAGCATCGATCTGCGTAATTGGGAACCGATGACACATGTGTCAACCAAGTCAGCGAGCCTGACCACCCGATCCCTGTAGTCGCCTCTTACAACAAGCATGGGTTACTGAAGGCCAATATTCTAACCCGGACCTTCACGGGTTGTTATTATATAGTACGTTTTAACGTAAACAGGTCTGTACAAAACACACTTAGAATATCTATATATAACAACACGAATTTCTTTTTTCTATCTCCCTTGATTTTAGTCATGAATTTAAGCTAGCTTGAGTAATATCTGTGTAAAGTGTAATTATGTGAATATCGTGAACACACAATATTTGCAACAAAGGTACTTCTACTTGTTCTTCTATGATGTATGGTCCTGCAAACATGCCTGATACGATAACGTCACTTCCTGTCCGTTGTGAGATCGAGTTGCCTCTTAGTTCACTGATGAACTGACGATGGGGACTGATAAACATCGTGATTCTTTAGATTAACATCCATTTCCAGCCTCCGAGATACTAAATAATTATTATTTCTATATTAACAATTCACTCATGACAATCAGAACCAAAATACACTCGGCGAAACAATGTATAACATGAATTAACTTGCCGCGCACATAAATGTCGTTTTCTGATTGAATGAGCGTTCTTCTATTATTTTCAATGTACCCCGCTTACAAGCGAGTAACATTTTCTATGTATACCGCAGGGAATGCCAAACGCATTTGGTACTTCGTAGTAGTATTTCTTTAATCTCGAATAACATTGAATCACGTATGATGTACAGAAATTACCGATGTTTTGCGAATGCAAATCGATGGAAGGGAGATAACTCTAAATTTGTTTTTCTTGTCGTCTTGTCCTCCATATAATGATCCGATACCCGTGCTTCGAACAGTTCAAAAGTACCATTGAGATGTTCGGTAAGATAAATATGTTGTTCACTGGTCCCTCCGGGCTCATGGGTTGATGTACCCTCGATGTTTCTTTATGTTCCCATAAACAAACATTGAGGGTACATCAGCCCATGTCCCCATCGAGACCAGTTGACAACATATGTTTGCAAGTGTTCATGAGTGCAAATGGCGAGACACGTCCTTTCGAATCAATCTCACAATTGCAGATTTTATTTTTGTTGCATTTTCACTGTGGCGCATACTTATTACAATTCATAATATCTAACGAAAAAGTAAATGGCAACTTGACCAGTATTTATAAAAGGTGTCGATATTTGAATTTATGGAGGCTGCATATTTAATTAGTCTATAAAAGTCAGTTAGGCCCCTTTGGATTTCTTTTAATTCTTGCACTTTCTTTTGTGATCTTCTAATGAATATACACTGTTTTGTTATCAATGTGATGATGTTAAGTGGGATATTATTTCTTTCGGTATAGCCAAGGAAAACAATTTCTTTTGGTATATTAATATTTATCTGAGCTTCTGATAGCAGCCACGTTTTCAAATCATTCCAAGAACAAATGGAATATAGATTCCTTTTCTGTAGAACAATAGCTTCATAAATCGCTTTCAAAGTATCCCACTTTATAAAGGCGAGTATTTGTGGGTAGGATATTATGGAAAATCTCATATTGGAACCATTAAAACCTGGTAGAATCTGTGCATTGAAACACCAATAAATTATAGCTTGTACGTCCTCTGTCGTTGATATAATGGGATAATATATGTTCCCATTTAGCGAAATATTGGTTTTTACATTGATGCTTTTGTATCAGTGTTTTGTAGAAATATTGTGAACCTTTCTGAGTTTTCAATAACTGGGCAATTCATAACGTGGTACGACTTTATTTGGTGTCGTTTTCGCTTGTTAGATACTTTTTGAAACAACTCGTTGTAAGATAAATGGTATCTTACACACTTGTGTAGTAATTTCTATATACCTGGGTTGTTTTTGGGTTTTTTTAAAAAAATTCTTTTATTTGTTCCCATGGTTACAAAGTCAATAACAATGGTATATGGTAGCAACAAGCACAGAAAAGGTGAAGATACATTGCTGTAGAGATGGAATAATAATTAGTTGCTGAATATTGGGATGAGCGAATTCCATTTAAGATTGAATTTCTCCATTTCATTGTTTCTTTTGAAATAAATTTTTCTACAGAAAATATCTCTTTTAATACCTTTTTATAATTACTGAATTTTGGAATTGATTTTTTTATATTGCATAAATTGATATGTTTTTTTGCAGAGATAATGATTTGATTTAGTAATTCATCATTATGCAATGTACCAAACCAAATCAAATATTTTGTGATGTTTATTTTCCGTGGTAAATAGTTATTAATCCAGAGTTCTAGATCATTCCAGAATTTCATGCTTTCACAGAATTCCCAATAAACATGACAAATGCTCTCAGAAACATCATTGCAAAAACTACACAAATCATTGTCAATCAGGTTCATTCTCGATAATTCTTTTTTAGTATAAATAACTCTTTGCAAAAATCTGTATTGTTCTATATACCTGTTTGTAGAATGTAAAAATACCATATGCGTAATTGTAAAATGATAAAAGTATATGGACTTTGGAAATACCATGTGCAAATTTGAAGAATTTAGAAATACCACAGGCGTGTGTGTGGCCTGAAAACACCCATATACACGTATGCAGAATGTGAAAATACAACACACATATATGTACAATGAGTGAGTGAGTTAAGTTTTACACTGCTTTTAGCAATCTTCCAGAAATGGGATTCACACATTGTATCCATGTGGGGAATCGAACCCGGGTCTTCAGAGTGACGAGCTAATAAAGTTACCACTAGGGTACCACACCACCATACAATACAATACCATATGCAGTTCGAGTCAAGTATTTTCACAATAGGCAGAACGAGCAATACAAATTAAGGAGGTTAATATAATTTTATGGCACCCTCAGCACTGTCGTTGAAACCTTGAACCTCTTTCATTTCATCCTTAATCAGTTATCTTTCATTATATATTATGTGAAAGAATCTAAATTGGTTCAGCCTTTGAAGGGTCTAGACCATTTGGAGTCAGATAGAAAACAGGCATAATGTCATAAGAGTATGGAGATAAGAACTACAGATGAATAACCAGACGCTTTTTAATTGAAACCATGAGCCTGAATATTTGTTTAGATAAAAGCCTTTTTTGTGGCAGACAATTTCATTTTTCTCAACACGTTTAAAGATAAACTCATTGGGCAAATAATTGTTTTCGATATAACCCCAGCCCCTTCAATATGAGATGGTTGGTCCCATATCAGATATTCATTGTCTAATTCATAGTCCCGTTATCCGTGAAACTACCAGTTGATAATGAAGGGTCGTCTACATCATTGGCTGAATCAGTCTATTGCCGGGATGAAATATTGATGAATCGAGAAGTAACGGTTTCATTGCCTTTTCCCATAAGTTCCTTCGTTTCATTTGACGCCGAAGCAATCTGAATCGTGTGAAAAGGTTGATGTCATGGTCATGTTCCATCGCAGAGTTGTTATTGTTCTGTACATCCATGAGATTATGAAGTTGGTAAACTGTAACAACTGTTTCCACTTGTTTACTGCACTACAACACGACAAGTACATGACGAAGGTGTTCAGAAAGTTGACAAGTGATTCTCTTTATGGCTGTGCTTCTGAATGCCTGATGTCCTCCCCTTGTCGCTCTGTTGGTTATCAACCCGAGACACGCACCTGTTTCCTCAACAGCGACAGCAGCGGACGAGGGAAACTTACCCACAGACCAGGATTCATCTTCACCGACATTGAACACTGGCCACAGGTAGATAATGTCACACATACGTATACATATGCATTATTCTTATATCATGGGTATTTTGACAAGGATTGCAACACTCAAGACCTCAGCAAGATTTTTTGAAAACTATTTCACGTAGTCGAATGTAAATGCGAACGGATCAGTGACAAAAATGATGTACATGTAGTTCCCTATTTTGGACTTGTACCATCTGTTCCCGTGTTGTTGTTTATTGCTGGTGAGCATTTTGACTTGGCTTTGCAAGTGTTTGTGATGGAAGCCACCGATGTGACGGTTTACGACATAATACGCTAAACGCCAAAAGAAACGTTACCCTCCTACATTTATGAATTACTTAAAAGCTATCAAAGACATGTTAGAAGGTATTAGTTTACATGGAAACTTAACAACACAGCTTTATGCAAATTATGAAACAAAATATTCTCAAATGCATTAATATTTTGGTGAAATGGATATTTTTCAGAAGAGTTAAATTGTCCTATTTTCGTCCATGCCGAAATAAACCAAAAACAGTGATTTAGATGTCCAAATAAAAGGTTGAAATATTATTCTGGTTTGAGACGAAGATAAACTATTTAAAATCACCATTTTTCAACTATTAAAACACACAACTGTTGTAGAGTGTGTAAAATTGTAAAATAATAATTCCTATGATATCATTCTTTTAGAACACTTTCTACTGAATTGCATTAGTGAAAACAAGTAAAACGTGTCTGTGGTATTGTGAAAAATGTTAAGGAACATCTAAAATGATCTTTGTTAACATTTTTGATTGCAAAGTAACATTTTTCCATTTTCTGTTTACGCATAGCAATATCAATCGCCAAAACGCAGCAATATGCAAGCAGTATTTGCATCCATTTCACATGTAGAATGATTCTATAGGGTATAAAGAGAGCCTAGAATGCATGATATGATACACAAGTACGGGAAATACACCACGATTAACAGCAGAAGAGAGAGAAAGAGCCATTGTAATGGTGCAGATGGGGTCGACATACAATGCTGTTGCCAACGCCCTCCGATGCCATCGTATCACGGTTATAAGACTTATTCAGGGCTTCAGACAGACTGGGGTCCCCGTAGACAGACCAAGAAGTGGACGTCCACGCATCACAACGCCAGCTGAAGATAGGTACCTGTGGCATTAAGGAAAGAGGGCAACATTTATTTTGGCGTTTAGTGTATATATCGCAGAAACATTTAATCAGTTGTATTTAGTTCTATCTGTACCAGTGGTGCTGTATGGCATTATTTTGTTGGTTTCAGGGTTTGAGGGGAGTATGCTCTGTGATGTCATGTGCAAAGACCTCCAGGTGTCACGTCGATCGAATGCGTCGTGCAACATGTGTGCCTGGTAACAGATCGTACTTTTTGAATAAACTGAAATTCAAAAGAAAGTATACAACTTTAGATTGAAAATAGATTTTATTACCTCAGTAAAATAAATATTAATTCAGACTGTAAACAATTGCCCAAATACATCTGGCGTTGCCTAGTGGGTAAAGCGTTTGCTCGTCACGCCGAAATAACCGGGTTCGATGCCTCACATGGGTGCATTGTGTGAAGTCAATTTCTGGTGTTTCCCACCATATTGCTAGAATATTGCGTAAGCAGTTTGTGAATATTGATTTTCGTGATTTTTATATTAACACCTTTGAGGTGTTCAATATTGCATTGCAAGATCGTTCGGATTTCAATTGTATTGATACTGTCAGACAGGGCATACTAGGAAAAGGCTTCCGGTGGTTGACCGTCACAGGACTGCCATCTGCGTCATGTCGATACCTCTGCACAATCTGTCTGGTGCTGAAGCTTTTCAGGCCTGCAGATCGGAATGACCCGTCTACATAAGCGAAACTGGTCAGTTGTCTCGATCTGCCTCGTGATAGTTGAACTATACTATCCAGCGGCCAGTGTAAAGGCAACACCTTGATGATCGACGCGGGTGTATCGACAGAGAGGTGGAACAACTGGCTTTCGGGATTTGTCCCCCTGAAGGCGTGGCGTCATGGTGTGTGTGTGTGTGTGTGAGAGAGAGAGAGAGAGAGAGAGAGAGAGAGAGAGAGAGAGAGAGAGAGAGAGAGAGAGAGAGAGTGTGTGTGTGTGTGTGTGTGTGTGTGTGTGTGAGTGAGTGGTACCAGTAATACATTAAGCGTGTTTTCACACCTTGTACCCATGTATCTTGTGGAGATTCAAACCCGTACCTTCGGAGTGACGACCAAACGATCCAATCACTAGACAGGATGTCCGAGAAGGTCACTACAGCTATCGACGAAGACCTTACGAAGGAGCTATATGGAACCGTTCTGAAGCATCTCTTGGCGTTAATACTGACAATTATGATACGTGTGATTGCCTTTTCTTTAGTCGTCTCATCTGCCATTTCGCTTTTTTGTACCATAAATGAATGAGGTTCAAAATACATTGCAGGTGACACATGGGCATATGTATACATGCTTGTCGAAATAGGCGACTAACGGGATCGCAGTTCATGTCGATGCTTGCAAACGAAAGAAGTAATGTTCGTTCAAAATGAAAAAAACCCCATCCACTACAAACATGGGCACCCACTACTACAGGACAGCCGTTGTCCATTCCCATTATACATACTCTGGTGGAAATATTGTAAATTCCATGATTCTATTTTACTTTATGTCAGAAACAGTCAATTATGAATTACAACACGGTGTGTATCAAGTTTGATACACATATTGATTTTCAATCCGATTTGGCTGCACTCTTTATTTCAAGTTTCAAGCTTCGACTATTCTGGTCCAGAGTTTCAGGGATGTCAGTACCCACCGGAAGTAGTCGGCATGCGCAGAATCTATGACGGTGTTTATGAAGGAGCTGTGGCGACCTACCAGTGTAAGCGGGACTTCAAGCTCTGTCGTAATGGCACTGTCCGAACCTGTCAGCCTGATGGACAGTGGCAAGACATGCCTGGTCAGTGTGGACAGTTTAGGTGGCATAACCCAGTAAGTAGAAGATCATTTATGTTCAGAGTTCGTTCGTTGCTGCTTAACGTCGCACTCGTAGCAATATTCCAGCTACATAGCGGCGGTCTGTAAATAATCGAGTCTGGACCAGACAATCCAGTGATCAACAGTATGAGCATCGATCTACGCAATTGGGATACGATGACATGTGTCAACCAAGTCTGCGAGCTTGACCACCCGATCCCGTTAGTCAACTCTTACAACAAGCTTGGTTGCTGAAGACCAATTCTAACCCGAATCTTCACTGATCTTGTGAGTAGGTAGAAACGGGTTTGAGCATGGTTATATACATACAGGGCAATCTGTTATATCGGTATCACTATCTTACGGGTTAATCACCATTATCTTTAATCGGACCCTTCGTAATACATAGCCGTTTTACTATGAAGATGATAAAACGTGTTACCCTAAGGACTCACGATCATAAGTACCATATGAAGGACTTAAAGGTATCTAATTAATATCCCATTTAGGATTCATTCCGAATCACAGGTAGCTATGAGCTGTGATCTTTTATTCAGATTCCTGGATATTTCTTACGCTACCGTTAAGGCAGGGCAGGTTTGTGCCTTTCAGTGTTTGTTTCTGTAGTTGATGTAATTATCTCGGCTACTTTACTTTGTACGTCCACGCGTTAAGATTCCGGGTAGAATTGGTCTTCAGTAACCCATGCTTGTCGTAGGAGGCGACTAACGAGATTTGGTGGTCAGCCTCGTTGACTTGGTTGACACGTGTCATCGTATCCAAGTTGCGTAGATCGATGCTCATGATGTTGATCACTGGATTGTCTGGTCCAGACTGGATTATTTACAGACCGCCTCCATATAGCTGGAATATGCTGAGTGCGGCGTTAAACAACCGACCAACCAACCAACCAACCAACCAACCAATGGATTCTGTTTCAGCAGATAATTCTCTGACGCTATATCAACCATGCTCATAGTATGTGTTGATCAGCGATTCATAGTTCCACATCTTCACTCCCCAAAGTCGCTAGGACATCGTGTTTTGTAGATAAAAGAACAATAGATACGTGACACAAATTTAGCCATATGTATTGATTACAGAATATAAGTGGCGAAAATATAACCGACGAAACTCGCATTATAAAAATAATCTATACAAAACTTTTTGTGTGGGTATCATGTTACATATATCATGAGTAATTATGCCAGGTAATCGTTAAATGCTGTGTCAGTTGTCCATACCGTACAAGCCTGGCAAAGAGAATTTTGGTGCATCATATTTGAAAATGTACTCCACTGTAAAACTTCAGTGTTGTTACGATGATCAAACAACATTTGCACAAGACTCGTATGGCGCTTTTTTAACCTGCGTAGAAAGAGCATGCCCTATTAACTTCAAAATAGAACATAAACCAACATTGACAGTTATCCGAACAAGGGAAGTACAACTTGGCAGGTTAATTTATATAAAACAAAACAAAACATAACATAACGCGAGTATCACTGTAATAAGTTGTACATCGTATAACATGACCTTGCTAAACTCGGGAAGCCGTGTTTGTTGTCGTCTCTGATTGTTGTGGCCATACTGGCATAACCTTTTTGTTACCCTTTTTTACTCTCGATAGATGTATAAGTTCAATAGACCCAGTAGCATTGCACCCACTCGTAGTCGAACTGAAACCTTACAGTGTCTACACACAGAGGAAAGATGGCAGGTCGAAGCTGTGTTCCTTTTACTTGTTATGTAAGAGTTTTTACAACATGAAGAAAGGAATGTGTCTCCGGTAATACACATTTGCAATTGTAGACGCTGCCGTCCAAGCACCCTATACCGTGCGGACCAGCGAACAAGGTCAAGGTCGACGTCAGGGCAACAGCAACCAAAGCTGTAAGGTAAGTAAATTATAACTAAACTGAGATCAGATTTTTAATCGTAGTATTTTTGTGATTTTAAATTATGGCTATATTTGACTACAATCGCCAGCGGCTGAAGGGATGGTGTAAATCCAGCATGGGTCCATGCTTGCAGCAAATGTACTGTAAGTCCATGGTCGTTAGCAGGATGATCTACCTTCAGTTGCTGATGATATATATATATTGTATTGTTCTCTATAGTAATATGTTTTTATAATAACATTTTAGTTTTACCTTAAGTACTATCTGTGATACTCCGGTAGTGTTACTGTCCAGGTTTTAATCTTCAAAATGTATTCATTTTTATTTCATAACTTGTCCTCGTCACGATATATTGCCGATATGACGATAAAGATTAACTCACTCACTCACTAAACTGAGAGGAAAAGAAATGTTTAGCGAGATATTTATGTAATTCCAAATAAGAAGAACTGTTGCTGTTAAATTTGATAATGTTTGCTTAGCGACCGCATTCCTGCAAATGTTTAAATATTTTGTATAAAACGAACTGGTTCTTCAGGTGACGACCGTTGTCAGTCAGACCAGTTATATATATATCATCAATATCATCATCATCATTATTCAATGGGGGCGGTGGTGTAGCCTAGTGGTTAAAGCGTTGGCTCGTCACGCCGAAGACCCAGGTTCGAATCCCCTCATGGGTACAATGTGTGAAGCCCATTTCTGGTGTCCCCCGTGGTGATGTAGCTGGAATATTGCTACATGCGGCGTAAAACCAAACTCAGTCAGTCAGTCATCATTCAATACCAAGTGGTCGTGGTTATAACTGGTTTATTTCAAAATAGGACATGATTACAAATGAATTTCATTTGGAAGTATAGCTGAGATGGACACATCTACTCCAGTTTTGTTGGGGGGAAGTATTCCTGTTAGAGATCTGATTTTTTTCAGATGGTATGTGATGATGATGGAGGAAGGCGAAGACGTCCTGTACATGGCAGACTTCCGGTTTAGATATGGAGGCGTTGGTAACTGTACCGTCATCAACAGTGAAATAAGGGGCACGTGGGGGGCGGAAGTTGTCTTCCCACATCTTCCCGTGACTGTGGGGAAGGAATCTAGGGTCGTTATAACCCTTGAGTCGGGTGTGTATAAGGTGAGTACGTTTGGATAACTGTGCCAGTACTTTCTTTGATCGTATTTTAAACTTGCATCTATTCCATCTATATGGCGGCGGTTTGTAAATACTTGAGCCTGGACCGGACAATCCAGTGATCAGCAGAATGAACATCGATCTACGCAATTGGGTTACGGTGACATGTGTCAACCAAGTCAGGGAGCCTGATCACCCGATTCCGTTAGTCGACTCTTACGATAAGTATGAGGTCCAAGTCTACCCGGGTGTGTGCCAGTACTAGTGAGTGAGTGCGTGAGTGGGATTAGACCTCGCTTTGGACGGTATAAGGTTCATATAGGTTGTAGGTTTAAGTGACATCACGAATGTGCATGGCGCTGATAAAGCTAGGAACATAGGAAAAACAAACCGATTCATACTTACCTTTAGGGCTTGCCTAAAGGGAGAGGACTTTGCGAAGCTTATTGCTCCGACTGGGTCTCCTTTACCTGTGGTTAGTCCTATGAGGTTAAACAATATTTGCATGACAGTTGACGGGGTGATGACCCATGGTTCCTCTATTGGCCTCACCATTAAATAGTTGGTGACGCGAGGGTATGTCGGGGCGGCGGGTGGGGTGGAGTCTTTAAGGCATGTTTAAGAATATTGTGTTACGTCGCTTTTAACAATATCCAAGCACTCACAGCAGGGGACAAAATGGACTTCACATATTGTACTCATGTGGGAAATCAGCGTGACGAGCGACTCCATAACCACTGGGCCACCCAGGCAAATACGGACCTAGCCATCGCAAAAAAAATAAAAAATACGTCGGGTCATATCAAATCGCCGACATACAGCTGCAATATCGTTACGTGCGTTACAAACAACAAACGAACGACAAACAAGCCCGCTCTTAACATTCTGTTAATCAAGGCAACATATTCCGAAATATTTTTTGAAGGCCGGAACTTCCAAGTATACTCCTCACAAAAAAGTTAAGCAGCAAGTATTGGCTATCAGTCTGGATAGCCATTCATCGAGATTAATGCAGCAGGAACATTTCTAGGAAAACATAACCTTAAACCAGATTCAAGTTGATTTTGTCCGAAAACATAGATCACATCGCTTGAACACAAACGCCCTAAAAAACACATATTGTTGGAATGGTGCAGGGGGTATGACACAACCTGCTGCTGCCAATCATTTCAGTGTTCACCGTAGTGTCGTTTTAAGAGGGATGACTCGATACCACCAAACTAGACTGATGACAGAGAGGCCACGCACAGGTCGTCCAAGGGTGACAACTCCCCGAGAAGACCGATATCTGGCCACCCTAGCCCTGAGAAACCAGTTCACTACGGCCACATCATTCCAGAATGACCTTCAGAGAGTTGCAGGAAACAGGGTCCCAACACAGACAGTGAGAAACTGAAGGCCTGAGGTCCAGAAGACCAGTACGACTCATCCCACTGCCTGCATATCGTCGACAAAGAAGAGTGAGTGAGTTTAGTTTTACGCCGCGCTCAGCAATATTCCAGCTATATGGCGGCGGTCTGTAAATAATCGAGTCTGGACCAGACAATCCAGTGATCAAGAGCAGGGGCATCGATCTGCGCAGTTGGGAACCGGTGACATGTGTCAACCAAGTCAGCGAGCCTGACCACCCGATCACGTTAGTCGCCTCTTACGACAAGCATGGGTTACTGAAGGCTCATTCTAACCCGGACATTCACGGGTCTCGACAACGAAGGGTGATCTGGGCAAATCAACACCTTAACTGGAGGGTCAATCGATGGCGTCATGTTCTCTTCACAGACGAGTCAAGATTCTGCCTTGACTTCCACGATGGTAGGGTACGTGTGTGGAGAAACCGTAATGAACGATACGCCAACTGTACCATTGCTGAACACGACCAGCACGGAGGTAGAAGTTTGATGGTCTGGGCTGGCATCAGTGTTGGACACAGAACTGATCTTGTGGTTATCAGACGGGGTATCATGACTGGTGTAAGGTACAGGGATGAGATTATCACACCCGTAATCATTCCTCTGGCACAGCAAACAGGGCCCAACTTCATTGTCATGGATGATAATGCCCGTCCCCATCGAGCAAGAGTTGACATTGATGTTATCCAGAACAACAACATCACGCATATAGACTGGCCTGCAAAGTCGTCTCCTGACCTTAATCCCATAGAACATGCTTGGGACATTCTTGGAAGGCGTGTTAAAGGTCTCTGGACCCTGGACCAACTGGAACAGGCCTTATGGGTGAGTGAGTGAGTTTAGTTTTACGTCGCACTCAGCAATATTCCAGCTATATGGCGGCGATCTGTAAATAATCGAGTCTTGACCAGACAATCCAGTTATCAACACCGTGAGCATCGGTCTGCGCAATTGGGAACCGATGACATGTGTCAACCAAGTCGGCGAGCCTGACCACCCGATCCCGTTAGTCGCCTCTTACGACAAGCATGGGTTACTGAAGGCTAATATTATAACCCGGACCTTCACGGGTTTCAGGCCTTATGGACAGAATGGCGGAACATTCCACAAGAGACATTTGGCAGACTCATCTGGTCAATGCCAAGGCGTGTAGTAACTTGAATTGGAGCCAATGGCGGTCATACACATTACTGAACACACGATGGTTGTTCAAAATTGACATTAACTGTAATTCAAACATATTGATTCTTCAATGCAGCACATTCTGGGTGATTGTTTCATTGGTACCGTTTTTGACGATTGGTAACTTTGTTATTGTTTAACGATTTTTTAAATTCTTTTTGTTAATGGAGTGTGCAAGACCTTTATCTTTGTATTCAAGTATCATGAATTTTGATACATGAAAATTTTCTAAGAAAAAAACCCCTTGTTGCTGGATTTTTTGTGAGGAGTATATATGCACGTAGCCATTCTTTCCGATGGACTGTTTATTATGGAATCCTGACATTGTTGCGTTGTTACGCTTTTTTATACACTTTAGGTGGGGCGACACCGCGATATACTTCGACGTTGAAAACTGTAGCGTGGTCGCATTGTCGCCCTTTTGTTGAATGAAAGAAATATTATATAAAGTGCGAAAATGTGACAAAAAGGCCAAAATGTCGTGTTGTCGCGCTTTGGTTAATTTTGTCACCTTTTGCTCGTTTTGTGAGGGCGACAGTGTGTCTTCTATGACTCCATAGTATATTATGTGAGGACGTCGAAATTATAGCCCCGCTACGAAGTACAGGGGGTATATAGCGTTAATTCTGTCCTTCGGTACGTCCTTCCGTCCCGAAACTTTGTCCGGAGCATATCTCTTAAAGATTACATGCTAGGTTCAGCAAACTTCACACACATGTTAATCATTACCCATAGACGTGCCTTCTGCTATTTTGAAGTTTATCAGAATTTTACTTTTCTTGTTTCCATGGAAACACGACTTAGTGCAAAATGTGTTTGATGGGGATCTTGTCCTGAGCATATAACTGTAACTATAGATGCTAGGTTCACCAAACTTAAAACACAAGATAATCATGACCAACAGATGTGACTTTTGCTATTCTAATGTTTATCAGAATTTTAGTTTTTGCCCTTTTTATGGAAACATTAGTGCAAAATGTCTTTAATAGTTACTTGTCAGGAGCATATCTCTGAAGTTATACATGACAGGTTCAATTATTAATGTAATTAGTAAATGGCAAAACTATTATCTAACATGTATATAAAGTTTGGTGGAGTCAAGGATAAAGTCTTGTGAGCTGCTGATCAATGTCACATTATATATATCAGTTGCAGTCGTTTCCATGTCCCAAATTTCAATTTGGGAAGTTTCTATATTTCAATCCCATATTGTGCCGTGTAGGTCAGACTATGCCTCAGGTATCAATCACAAAAATATTCCTGACAATGTATCTCCAACGGAAACCTTCTTAATCTTTCCGACCCGTGAAGATCCGGGGTAGAATAGGTCTTCAGCAACCCATTCTTGTCATAAAAGGCGACTATGCTTGTCGTAAAAGGCGACTAACAGGATCGGGTGGTCAGGCTCGCTGACTTGGTTGACACATGTCATCGGTTCCCAATTGCGCAGATCGATGCTCATGCTCTGGTGACCAACTCGTATTATCCCGGGACAAGCCGAATACCGACTCGTGCCCCTCTGGAAGGATTTCATATTGGCGCATGAACATCAGAACTACTTTAAACAAGAACGATAACTCTATCCCTGTTTGATTCCAATGTATCGTAATTATCACCGAAGCACATGTACATTGTATTGCTAGGTTGTTGTTTTGGGGGTTCGTTTATTTATTTATGTTAAAGAATTACACCTCTTTGATACAACTAAAAGAAGGAGAAAAACATATTTGTTAAAGACACATTCTAATGTAATTATTACCAGCTGTTAACCTTATATTTCCAATTAGGGTTTACTAATCACAAATGGGAATTGTTTTTTTTAATATGCCAAAAAAAGTTTAATAGTTTCAGCTACATTAAATCCCAAAGCACATACTCAAGAATGACTTTAATATATTTCTCAAACTGAACATTCGTGTAATCTTGCTGTCAAACCCCTGGTGGAATTTTCAATGAATTCGCTGAAAAAAATATGAATGACCAAAAAGATAGTCAGACTAAAATATCCCCAGAGATGTGAAATAAAAGCCCAATGTTTGAGATTAAAGTTGATTAGTTACACACAAATATAATATTATTGTTTTGAAACTCGTAGCGATTAATAATTACATTTCCTAAAATTGTTGGAAGCGCACGTACAATCTCCATAACAAGCTCGCAAGATCGTCAGAAATACACTCAGTTGGACCCATGAGAGCCGTTATGTCAACAAACGCACGTGCGTGTATTTGAATCTCTCACCGTCAATCGCATGATTCTTATTAAAAACTTCAGAATAGGCAGCAAAATCCTGTTAGCTACGTTCTTTGTACTTTCAATATGGCGATATATATTTTTCATGATTTTTTAAACAATGACTTAATGCCATAAACGATTTAAGTATTCGGGATTATTTTTATCAAAGCACCGCGCTCATTTACGCGCGTTCTGATTGATTTGTCGTATTTTCGCACATAACAAGTATCGAGTGGGGGACGAGTCTTCTTCTTGGAGGTTACGGAAAGTGGGCGAAGTGGTGACGAATGCCTTGGATTTAGTAATATTTTGTCAGGACTAATGGGTTTATGCAGAGCTCGTTCAAAAAACGAGTCACGAAATCGACATCTTGTTTGTATAGTGGGTGAGCATAATTTTACGCCGCTTATAGCAACATTCCAGCAACATCGCGGCGGGGACACCGGAAATGGATTTCACACATTGTACCCATGTGGGGAATCGAATCTGGGTCTTCGGTGTGACGAGCGAACGCCTTAACCACTAGGCTACCCCACCGCCCCTCTTGTTTGTATAACGACACAGCGACTGACTTGCATATTTGGGTCGATTACAGGATTGGAAAAAAATGGTTCTCAACTGGTTGTCTTGTCTAGTTAGTTGGAATCTATAAACGTTTTCTATTAAGAATGGTATTCCACTTTTGAGGATAGATCATGATATGAATATTACAAATTTTCAAAAGTTAAATCTACCAAAATACTAAAACATTTCATTACAAATCCATCTGTAAACGAAGGAAGAAAACTGTCCAATGAAAAATCGAAATGAATTTGACCCTTATGCAATATAGCAATAGAATAGTAAAATAAAGTTATTTGTGTTTGTCCATTTTACAGTGATCTTCGAATGTAAAATACTAAATATTATTTGATATTAGTGTCACCGATAAATGCTTGTGTAATTATTTTAGCGACAAAGAACGAATCTATATTATAAATAAAAATATATTCAATCTTTCACTATATATCAAACATGCATCTGCAAAATGAAATGAACAACACACAACGTGTAAATGTATGTATGTATGTATGTATGTATGTATGTATGTATGTATGTATGTATGTATGTATGTATGTATGTATGTATGTATGTATGTATGTATGTATGTATGTATCTATGTATGTATGTATCTATGTATGTATGTATGTATGTATGTATGTATGTATGTATGTATGTATGTATGTATGTATGTATGTATGTATGTATGTATGTATGTATGTATGTATGTATCTATGTATGTATGTATGTATGTATGTATACATAATGTTTAACGTCTTTATTTATATTCACGTAATTATGCTTTGGTTTTAAGCCTGGAGGCGTTTTTGTACAATAAAACGTTTGACCTTAACAGACTCGATTATACACAGACCGCCACTGAAATTTTGCGGAGTTAAAAATAAACAAACAAAACACAATCTATTTACCTTGGACCAGTACACAATGAATGGGTACCACCATGGGGCCTCAGTTTCAAGATAAATCGTTGCTCATCATTATCAGAGAGCACAACAATATTTTCTACTGAGGATTGAATGCACTTGAACACCTTAAGCGCCAGAAGAAGAATTCACCACTCCGCAAAAATGTGATTGACATTCCGTGTGACCAATGAGGTTGTCGCTTTCATTATATAGATATATGTACTGACAGTTCGCGGATTAGTTGGGTGGTGTCGCGAAAAACGCACCAATATTGTGTTGGTTGATTGTCGTGCAAAACATGCGCGGGGTGGGGAGGGGGGTGTGTATCGGGGTGGTGCGCAGTCACTTGAGATCCACGTCTGACCGGACAAGGTTGACTGCACCCATCTAAGCGAGAGTTTGGTGTTGAAGGAATATAGACGACTTGCAGTATCATGGTTCCACTGGGCTGATGTTTAAGATCACTGGATCAGAAAGCATGGAATGTGTAAGCTGCGCGTTTTTGTTTTCAACTGGTGATTTTTCTGGAAAGATTTTCGCCCGTAACCTCCGTTTTTATCGTTCTATGCCTAAGAATAGATTGTGTGTAAAACCCTAAAATAACCTAATCCTACACTTAACCCGAACCCTCGAAATAATCCAAATTTAACTGAATACATTTCAAGCGGGGTTTACGGGCGGAACTCCATTTTTCGTTACAATTTCAGTGTGTCTTTTGCAGTTGGCGCGACATGCGATCGAGAACAAGTTCCGAACTATTATTTAATGCTTTCATTGATTAACTGATAATCCTAGGTTCCTGTGATTCAGTGGTACAGAGGAAGGACAGGCCAGATGGACTGATTATCGAACCAAAATACAGAGTCCTTCAAATACGCCGTAATACTTCTTGAAGATCCGGGTTAGAACATAGGGACGTGTCTCGCTTAGAAACAGCGTTAGAAAGACATATAGGTGTATACACCAAACCCTATTACTATGTAAAAGGAAAAGGACGTAACGACGAAACCCCCTCATCAATCAAAGTTAGATTTCACCACGTCAAATACTTGGATCTAAAGCTAGATGATTTCCCTACAAAATGAGCTATAAATGGTCACAATCGGACCATTATTTCAAAAGAATATTTGTTGTTTCAATTCTAATAACATGCGCCATGCGCTCATTTTAGAATTCTGGGCACATTTTTCTTCCCATTGAGGTGCCCTAATGGCGCAAAGGCGATTATTTTTGTAAATTAAGTGTTACTGTTCTATTCAATCATTTTATTATTATTATTATTTTTATTATTATTAGTGCATGCTGAAGGTGCTGGGTATTTTCTCCTCGATCATTGGATGTCAGTCTCAACGGCACATCTTATTATTAAGATCAACTCCTGGGGACCATACAACTCTTGCAGCCACTAGGCGAGTTATTGCGGCTTTCACATCCTTACGAAGTACATTTACAGCTGGGTGGACTGGGACACATACTTTGTCCAAGTTTACTGCACGTTGCTGTACCCGCAACTATAGTTTGGCATGAAATGCATGTGGACCCGTTTTTTGTAAATATCTCTTGATCCAATGATTCAATCGATCACAAACTGTGCAAGTGGATGTTTTGTCAGACAACCTAATCACATTGTAAATCACCGATTTTATGCATTTGTATTAAAGAATCCGTCTATGTAACTGTCAACAAAATAAACAGCAGAACGCAGACCGCTTGCAGAGGGAGGGAGCCAATGACCTGTAACAGCGGCAGTGGTTGGTCTTAAACGTCAACGTTCGTCAATGTAGGTCAGCTATGCACGTGACAGGTATGAAGAGGTGTCACAGGTCGTGAATAGGGTAAGGTGGGTGCCAACTGTTAACCATCATACGGAGTTTGTTTCTCTGAGTTGTTCAACATTAACCACAAAACCCATTAGTGAGAATTATTCTGTAGGTTAAAATCTTTAAATTTGTAATGTTAATGTCATATTTTGTTTATGCAGTACCTAAGTGGAAATGCATTTAAAAAACACAGAAAGTATATTTACACTAAATCATTAATCGGACCACCTATGGTTAGAACTCAACAACTGTTAAAGCCCCGTTCCCTCGGACACAAGCACACACAATCATGCACACTCATTGAAGAAAAGATAGAATGAAGACAAAATTGTTATGTTTTGATGTCGTTCACATCCCAAATTAAGCACTGCATTTCTAATAGCTTTAAGCATATAGATAGTTAATATTTATATTTTCATGATAATTTTATGTGAAATGAGTGTTTCATGTTACACTATAAGTCGTTGGAATTAGTCAGTGCTGTCATTGTTAAAAGAAGTTATATTTCTTTGAGCATATCTGGCTGGATACTATTATTATCTGTAAATATAATAACAGAATTAAACTTCATCAAGTTCACTCCATTCTTCCACAGAGGAGTCATCAGTGTCCAGACGAATGACAACTGGATTAACTGTTTGCTCCTTCAAGCCATCTTTGAACCTGTACTCTTTCTCCACCTTCTTGACATGTTCAACACCTGCATGCCAGCGTGCAATGTCAATGTCACATATAGCAGTGTTGACAATGTGCTTGACATCATTCAACTTGAATGATTGATTTTCCGGGCCACTGTACTTTTAAGGTCTCCCCAGATAAGTTCGATTGGGTTGAGATCACAGTGGTACGGTGGTAATCTCAAGACCTTATGGCCATGTTGGCGTAGCAGGTTGTCAATGTTATATGTGGGTGGAGGTTTGTTAGGTTTAATCAAAGAGTACAACTGTGGTTTAGTTGCCTTAATTGAAAATTGTATATTGTTATTTGTTAGCCATTGCTGCATATCTGACTTCTTTGTATTGGAAGTTGGGCACCTTTGTTTGGATCTCGAACACTGTGATAGGGAGCATTGTCCATGACAACAAGACTTTTGTAAGGCAGAGCTGGCAACAATTGTTCCTCAACATACTGTGTGAAAACCGTTGAGTTCATTTCTGTATGATAGTCCCAACCATCTGTGCTCTTTGACCGAAATACCAGATCACACCCAGGTACGAATCCACGTTGGGAACCAGCATGAAGAACGATTAAACGTTCACCTTTGCCTGTTGGTATTTTCCTACCATCACTGGGATCAGTGGGTAGCCACTGTCTGGCAGCAGTATGGTTTGCATTGACCCAGGTCTCATCCAGATATATGGGTTCGAACCCATCCTCTTTGCCTGCTTAATTTCTCTCAGATAGTTACACCTTATTTTCACAATATCAGATCTCTCACACATTACAAGTTTCCGGTTTGCTACCTTCTTGTACTTGTATCCAAATTTGAGCAGTAGTTTGCTTAGCATAAACCTAGAAACATTAATGTCGTGATCCTCTGCAAGGATGTGTTTTAACTTTCTTGTGGACAGGTGTTCATTTCTAGCAAATAGCCGGCGAATGACATCTCTGATGACCCTGATGTCAAAAGAATCTAACTTTGGATGCCTACCTTTTGTACAAGGTTTTGTTTATTGGTTGTTGGTTTATTTTTTCACAATTTTTAGCACGATGTTCTTTTTCATGCCAAGAGGAAAAGTTATACGTTTCATGTAATCCGACACCTTATAAATCGGTTTGCTACGTTTGCTCTCTTTTTTAAAAAAAACGTTTAGCATCATCTGAATAAGCTTTCATGATGACAGATAGAAATAGTCAATGTGAATGATCCAAAATCACTGTGCAGTGCACAGGAAACTATCGAACTGCACGTGCATTGACCTTTCTGACCCATCACTGCCGCTGTTACAGGTCATTGGCTCCTCTCCTCTCAGCGGTCTGCGTTCTGCTGTTTATTTTGTTGACAGTTACATAGACAGATTCTTTAATACAAATGCATAAAATCGGTGATTTACAATGTGATTAGGTTGTCTGACAAAACATCCACTTGGACAGTTTGTGATCGATTGGATCATGAGATATTTACAAAAACCGGGTCCACATGCATTTCATGCCAAACTATAGGTGTTTGCACGTATTCATGTGGCCACCATCTGGTCATATACCAACGGATTCGTGGGTTCTTTTAAGTGCACAGGGTTGTGTCTGCACACAAGAGATTTTACACCCGGTCACATGAGCTCGATCCCGGCACCTCATCCTCGCTAGATCACTAGCCTGGCGCCAGCTCGCCCACCACGCCCCCTTTCATTATCCCTAATAAAATAGAGTTGTCAACATACGATCTCAACAGCCGCCGAATGGCTCGAGTTACTTCCCATGGAATAGTTTCGGAATGCACATGTGTGAATTTATGACCTCGCTAACCATTCGTGACCAACTTGTGTTATTCCGGGACAAGCCGAATAGCGACTCGTGCCCCATGGAAGGATTTCATATTGGCGCATGAACATCAGAACTACTTTAAACAAGAACGATAACTCTATTCCTGTTTGATTCCAATGGTACTTAATATCACCGAAGCACTCGTATATCGTATTGCTGTTTTTGTTTTTGCCTCTTTATTTTAGAGGACTACACCTCTTTGATACAACTAACAGAATGAGAAAAACATTTTTGAAAGACATTTTCTGACGTAATTATTATCAGCTGTTCGCCTTATATTTCCAATTATATTTCTAAATAGGGTTTGATAATCACAGATTTGTTTTATTGAATATGCAAATATGATATAAAAAAATTCACCTACATTAAATCCCAAAGCAGATACTAAAAAATGACTTTAAAATATTTCTGAAACTGAACATTCGTGTAACCTTGCTGTCATACCCCTGGTGGAATTTTAAATGAATTTGCTAAAAAAATATAAATGACCAAAGAAAAGTCAGACTGAAACATCCCCAGAGATGTGAAATATAAGCCCAGTGTTGAAGATTAAAGTTGATAAGTTACAAACAGATATAATATTATTGTTTTGAAACTGGCACCCGTGAAGAGCCACCTCCTCGTGGTGGGTGCTGGGTAACGCTAAGCGCTTTTCAACCCCCTGTTCTGGACCCGGGGGTATATTTGGTCCACAAACCCGTTTGCCGTGGGTTGCGCCCCTGTGTCGGTGGAGGACGGGAGTCTGGTGGTTGAGGGCACTGGTTCCAGGAACAGCGTTCCTTTGCCCAACACACCACTTCGCCCTTACTTCACCCAGACGGGTGGTAGAACTGGCCCGGTTCTATCAATCGGCTGGTCACGCTAAGCCCTGTGCTACAACTGTAAAGTGTTGCACACAATTTTGAGAATTAATTAGGTGATAATTTTAAGTCTTGGCAAATTTTTGAACTTTGAATTTTTGAATTTCAACTGCACAATTTCATGTACTATGTTTTTGCCTAGAGTCGTATGCCCAGAAGGCGGTGGCTCATGGGCCAATGTGGTGGAATCATTAATCTTTGTATCATTATTTTTCCCCTTCAGGTGATAGAGCCACTGGAGGTTCTACTATCCTTATACGACAGGATGTTATTCACAGCCCTGTTACACTTAACACTAATCTCCAAGCTGTTGCAGTGCGACTTACTCTGGGTTTAGCATTTACGTTATGCTCTCTGTATATTCCGCCTTCATCGACCCTTCAGCTGACTGATCTTCAATCACTCTATGATCAACTCCCAAAGCCATGTGTTATTATGGGTGACCTAAACGGTCACAACCCACTCTGGGGCAGTACTAACACTAATACTAAAGGCAAAATACTGGAAGATTTCATTTCCAATAATGACCTGTGCATATTTAATGATGATTCAAGCACCTATCTGCATCCTGCAACTGGCACGTATTCTTCTCTGGATATGTC